TTATAAACTGGAAGAGATACCTGTAGATCTCTAATATCTGATAATATATTTCTATACAAAAAACTTCGCAATATAAAAAGCATTGGCAAGGTTTGCAGACTTGAAAACTCGGGGTACCTGCATAACTACATTTACAGCTTTTGTGGTGGGATAGTTATGCGTGATTGGCGTCACTATTAAATCTTGATTGGAGTATACAAGTTGATCTTGATATACAAGTAAAGTTTTGAGTAAAGTTTTGTTTAACAAGTTGACGCACCGAAAGTAATTGAGTGTTTTTGAATAATAAATTTGTAGGGAAACGCCTATTGAATTGAAAAGCTATTTTAATAATTAGTTTTTGTTTGACAAACAGTGGCTTTAAAATATTACTACTAGCTCCTCCCCATACTATAATTCTATATTGAAGTACCGATTGGATAAATGCATAGTATAACATTTTTATTTCATTAATGTTAAGAACTTCGTGTACGTTTCTAAAAACATAAATTAATTTCCTAAGTTTTGTCTTATACTTCAATGATCATGCTTCGCGAACTCGTTTTAATAAATGTAGGTTTACATGCCGAAAAACAGACCTTCAAAATATACCTTCAACGGCAAAACTACTCTTCCCAAAGCTGTCAAATGTTTATACATAAACATTTAAGCTAAGCTTTGGGTACACAACTTTCACATGAAAACAAAATAAAACAGTTTAACATAGTTAACAGTTTATTGAGGCTGAAAGATCAGGCAAATAAGATCTTCCAATTACAATCACTCTACAGATCTTCCATGCAGCGGATAATTTTTCCACGCCAAGTGCGCCCATCTATACAGGACATGCTGAATATGAATTGAATTACAGGATTAATATTGAAGAACACAAACAATTCACAAAGATCGGAAATTTCACTACAAGACGTACAGACAAGCCAGGGCTAGAGATATACATATCTCTAGCCATATAGATATACATATCTAGAGATATGTATATCTCTAGCCCTGCAGACAAGCTCTGGTGTGGAATTTGGTCTGATTAGGCCATCGAACAGGCCCTCATAAAGACAATGAAAAGCTCTGGTGGATTGACTCGGGGACGAGGGATAACAGACAAAATGTTGTAACTTGATGGGCGCTTGGGATGTTCCGTCCTCATCAAATCTGTAGGAAGTTGAGAAATATTACAAAAAATGACGTCAGTTGAACATTAACAGTGAGCAACATGGTGACGTGTGCGCCATTCTCGCATTGCTCGAGACAACGAAATTGATGAAAAGATTCGGCCATTTTGTAGAGCTTAAAAACAAATAATTTAGTACATTAAAATGTTTTTCACAGTCATTGGTTACGGAGAAAATTAAAAAATGTAAATAAAAAAACCTATTCCAATTAATTAAAAAGTTATTCCAATAGCGATGATTTTTTTAATTATTGTTTTTTTCCTTATTTATAGACACATTTTTATAAAATTGGGTAAATTTATTTGTTTGTTATCATACTATTATTATTTTATATACTATATTACCCTCCCTGTAGCAGCAAACCTAGGCACCAATTAAACCTAATGTTATTTAAATAGGTTTGCGAAAATCAAATCAAGCAAATGGAAATTCGCTTAGTCTGCAGGTTTGCTGAGGTGGGGGTATTTTTATTCATACTTTCATTTATTTTCTATTAATAGCAAAAAAAACTGGCATACTCTCTAAATCAATACGGTGTTTGCTTCAAACAGTTATATTGTGGAAATATTTAAAAAAAAAACCACAATTTTTATACGTCTTTGGAAAATTTATTTATTTTGATAGTCTGTATTTTGACCATTATTTACGCTACATACTTGCTGTTGGGCTTAAACTGTCACAAATTTATTCTTCTTTAATGTTATAATATAACATTTTCGGTAAAATCAACGGTTCGCGAGATTGAGTGAAAAACAATAGGAATTGCCATATTTTTTATATTTCGATAACAAGTGGCGCGCCCCGCGGCGAGCGGCAGTATCTCGAGGTGGATAACTTGGATTTTATGTTATGGGCCCAATACTAACAACATATCCAAAAATCAGAACTACCCGACCTTTTGCACAGCAACCCCATATTTTCTGACAGATTTACTGGACTATAATCTAACCGTCATAAACAGTTTCCACACTCCAGACTGCTCGCCTTTACTACTTCCTTCACCACTTCCTACGTCGCGGACCTGTTTTCCTCCCTTCCCATGGAATTTTAGGAATGCAGATATCATAATCTAATCGTCATAAACAGTTTCCACACTCCAGACTGCTCACCTTAACTACTTCCTTCACCACTTTATACGTCACGGACCTCAAGCTAGTGTCGTCATTTGATTATATTTATGATCCATACCGTTTCTGTTCTAATATCTGTGCAATAATGATATCAGCTATTTCTTTATCTACTGCATTCAAAAGTCGTATGTCTTTGTTTATGTGTCAAATACTGCTTTCTAAGGATTACATTGAAACTTTGAGACCCAGTGGGGCGGATTCCTAAGAGACTTTTTTAACGCTATATAGATGTTGGCACTCACCGATATGGTCTTTATCATCATGCAAAATTTGAAAACGAATGATTCAGCCGTCTAGGAAGAGTTTGCGTATTACGAAATGCATAAGAGGCGATGTATAAGAGCTTCACTCGCTTCGCTCAATAATATACAACTAAACGACGTATGCACGTATTACAGTCTTGTATATGTAGACTCTCCATTACTTTGGAACGGTAAGAAGTCTATTTTCTTTTTAGAAGTCGATTTTAAGTCAGTAGGTTTAACTCTGTAGCGCTGAAATATATATCGCTTAAGTTTCCTCGAAGTCTGAAGCTATTCTTTTGTCTTTTCCTTGTAATCTTCGTCAATGTTATCCAACATGTGTTTCGAACTACAAACAATAATAACAACAATATTTAAATTTTCATCGTATTTTGTATATTTAATGTGTTTCGGTAGATCTACAACCTTAATTTCGTACGCTAATTAATTCGTTAATTTATTTTAGTCCGAGCAAAGTGTGTGTTTGCCATGTCTTGGGACCCGACCTACAATCAGTCTCCTACAAAAACTTTGGCGCCCCTCTGCTTGAAAAGGATCAAGAGAGACTTGGTCGCGATCCACAATGATCCTGCACCAGGTATTCACGTTGTGGCTGACGAGCAGGACATCACGTTAGTACACTGTCTGCTCGTAGGACCCGACAACACACCTTACGAGGGTGGCTTCTTCTACTTCATCGTCAGGTTCCCGCCGAACTACCCCATCGCATCTCCCAAGGTCAAACTGATGACCACTGGTGGGTCAAAGGTCAGATTCAACCCGAACCTCTACAAGGACGGTAAAGTCTGCCTCAGCATCCTCGGCACATGGAACGGTCCTGGGTGGTGTCCAGCCCAGAGTCTGACCAGCGTCCTCATCTCCATCCAGAGTCTGTTGAACGAGAAGCCTTACCACAACGAGCCCGGATACGAACACGACCATTCTGATGAAGTTGAACAGTACAACCAGCTGATACAACATGAGACTCTGAGAGTAGCAGTTGTCGGGATGTTGGACGACGATTACTCGATTAACCTGCCTCAGCCACTTCGACAAGTCATGGAGAACTACTTTGTCAGTAACTACGAGACTTACACCGCACTGATCGACAGCAGGTGTCATCTTAACGGCAGTATACTGAAGGATAGATTTCAGAATTATAAGAAATACAATTGTGACTATGAGCAAATACGGAAGAGAGTGCAAATCATTTACAAAAGATTGCACAGCGCTGGAGTGAGCCTTTCGCAAATCAAACATGTAACGTTGCACGATGACAATTCATCGTCTTCTGATTAGCGTGATGAAAATTGGTATTTGGGCCGACTTGATCAAACAAACGGTATTTAAACATCAGATCAATCAATGTGAGGAATACATTTACCTACTGTAAACAGGTTTACTATTTCACCATCGCCGTTTGACGCACATCCAATAAATTCGTGCAATCAATCTAATTTACTTTTTTACTTTTTTATTTTACTTAATATACCTTATCAGCTAAACCTATCTCATTGCAACCAGTTGTCGATCGAACTTTACTTTCTATTTTTAAGTCTATTAAGTTTAATTCAAAGAACCAGTTTTTGTATGACAGTCTTGGGTAGACCCTACATTACTTTAGAACGCAAAGTCGTGTAAAGACCATCTCGACAACCCTTATCCTCGGGGTATTACTAATGTACTACTAAACGACGTATGCACGTATTACATATATGTAGACTCTCCGTTACTTTAGAACGCTAAGTCGTGTAAAGACCATCTCGACAACCCTTATCCTCGGGGTGATACTAATATACTGATAAACGACGTATGCACGTATTACAGTCTTGTATATGTAGACCCTGCATTACTTTAGAACGCTAAGTCGTGTAAAGCCCTTCTCAACAACCCTTATCTACGGGGTGATACTAATATACTGATAAACGACTCATTATACTTGTATACACGTAGTTTAAAGCATGTCTTTACGATTGATCTAATTTAGCTATAAAAGCAATTGACACTGTCCAAAATAATATAGTTGTATTCCAGTATCATACCCGTATAACACGGAATCTTATCGAAACAATGGAATAAATTACAGTAACCTTGATCTTTCATTATTTAGAAAAAACTAATGTCTAAACACTCCAAGGACAAGAACTTATACCTTGTAACGGGCTAAAGTAAGCTTTTCCTCATGCCTCTAGCTTGTCCAATGCTACGGTTTTAAGAGAAAAAAAACATTATTTGGAACTTCCGCAATAAAATTTCAACAACATAAAACACATAACATACTTAATATTTACAGTAGGGTGTATTTAGAAGCCGATTTTAAGTCAGTAGGTTTAACTCTGTAGCGCTGAAATATATATCGCTTAAGTTTTCTAGAAGTCTGAAGCTATTCTTTTGTCTTTTCCTTGTAATCTTCGTCAATGTTATCCACATGCGTTTCGAACTACAATCAATAATAACAACAATATTTACATTTTCATCGTATTTTGTATATTTAACGTGTTTCGGTAGTTCTACAACCTTAATTTCGTACGCGAAAGAAGTGATTCAAAATTAATAGGATTAAATTTAGTTAATTTTAGTCCGAGAAAAGTGTGTGTTAGCCATGTCTTGGGACCCGATACACAATCAGTCTCCTACAAAAACTTTGGCGCCCCTCTGCTTGTCAAGGATCAAGAGAGACTTGGTCGCGATCCACAATGATCCTGCACCAGGTATTCACGTTGTGGCTGACGAGCAGGACATCACGTTAGTACACTGTCTGCTCGTAGGACCCGACAACACACCTTACGAGGGTGGCTTCTTCTACTTCATCGTCAGGTTCCCGCCGAACTACCCCATCGCACCTCCCAAGGTCAAACTGATGACCACTGGCGGGTCAGAGGTCAGATTCAACCCCAACCTCTACAAGGACGGTAAAGTCTGCCTCAGCATCCTCGGTACATGGGAAGGTCCTGGGTGGAGTCCAGCCCAGAGTCTGACCAGCGTCCTCATCTCCATCCAGAGTCTGTTGAACGAGAAGCCTTACCACAACGAGCCCGGATACGAAAACGGTCGTTCTAGTGTAGTTGAACGATACAACCAGCTGATACAACATGAGACTCTGAGAGTAGCAGTTGTTGGGATGTTGGACGACGATTACTCGATTAACCTGCCTCAGCCACTTCGACAAGTCATGGAGAACTACTTTGTCAGTAACTACGAGACTTACACCGCACTGATCGACAGCAGGATTCATCTTAACGGTAAAACATTGAAGGATAGATTTCAGGATTATAAGAAATACAAGTGTGACTATGAGCAAATACGGAAGAGAGTGCAAATCATTTACAAAAGATTGCACAGTGCTGGAGTGAGCCTTTCGCAAATCAAAGATTAAACGTTGCACAGTGACGATTCATCGTCTTCTGATTAGCGTGACGAAAATTGGTATTTGGGCTGACTTGGTCAAACAAACGGTATTCAAACATCAGATCAATGAATGTGAGGAATAAATTTACTGTAAACAGGTTTACTATTTCACTACCGCTGTTTTACGCACATCCAATAAATACGTGCAATCAATCTAATTTACTTATTTACTTTTTTTATTTTACTTTAATTGACCTTATTTCAGCTAAACCTATCTCATTGCAACCAGTGTTCGATCGATCGATACTTTCTATTTTAAAGTCTATTTAGTTTAATTAAAAAACCAGTTTTGGTCCATCTTCTTGAAGCTGAAGTAGTGCAACTCCAATACCGTATGACGAGGAATCCGCTGTGAGGAAGGTTTCTTTAGACATGTATAAAGCGAGACACGGTTCGGACATCCATGACAGTTGATCTTTTCCAAAGCTTGGTCTTGATCAGGCCCCCAAACAAATTCTGTCTTTCTTTGCAGTAAAGCATGTAGTGGATGAACTATGGTCGACAAATTATGAATAAACTTAGCTATGTAATTGAAAACACCTAGAATTGAACCAGTAAATTTTTAGGTCTATTTATATGATTCTTCTACATGTTTTATTCACGTATCGTCGTAGCGACATGATCAATAATCATAATGAATAGTATTAGTTTCCTAAATAACGTATTAAGTTACTTCTATCTACCGTGGGTAAAAATCCTTAGACAATATTGTAGTATTCATTTTAGTAATCAAACTTGGTAACGAAAGTCAATGTTCTGTAGCGAAACCTTATAATTTAGAAGGTCTGATCTTCATAAAGTGAGACTTTAAACACATTTGATCTGGCTAAAAATATGCAGTATACCGGTACTAATAAAATACATTCGTGCACAGTGAAAGTATCATAATTTATATACTATTCTTTACGATAATTTAAGCACACAATCTTTTGAAAACTAATACGTACAATAAACGATTCATCGCAACATTTCACCGTTGAAAATAAGACGTCTTTGGAGAGATTCAATTTCATCAGGCAAATATTTGAAATATGGAAAACCAATGATTGAGTTGGAATTGCAAGTTGAATTCTGTATTTTTCGAACCTCGCTTCATGCTTAATGTTGAAAACGAAGGCTAGTGTTATTGTTTAATTATTTCTCGATTAGATTGTGTTGTAATTATTGCAAAAACCAATTACTCGAAAAATGTGATTATTTTACACATATTTTAATATAATAATATTTTACCTTGGTCAGGAAGTATTTATGTATTAATGTACAATTTTATTGTGAAACGAATGGTTTCTACTAACATTCTGCGCCTCTACATTATTCCATACGTTAAAAGTTCAACCACATCTATCTATCTTCTATATATATAATACGCTAAGCCGATTTTTGTGAACAGAACTCCTCCCTCATTTTTGGACCGATTTTGATGATTAAAGTGTCGAAAAAATTGCCCTGATCTGTAGTTTTGCAAAGTGTTTTTCGTTTTTTGATATATTTTTTAGTTTGGGCAGGATCTTCCATCAAAGTTGAGTTTCCTCCCATAAGATTAACATGGGGGAATCTAAATATTTAATTGGAAACTTTGTATCCACTAATTTGAGAGAACGGCTGGGCGTAGAAACTTGGTAGAGGTGTCCAAAGAAAGGTCTTGGTCTGTAGATGAGTTTTCAAAAGAAAAACGAAGAAAATTCGCTTAGGGCTCTGCCCCAGAAGCCTTTAAAAATCCCCCCACAGATTTGTTTACATTTTGGTCATGTGGATAATACTTTTTAATAAAACAGCTGTTAATTTTAAAATTGTATTTTGAACAACACACATTTATTGGGAGTTACTGAATAGTCCAAAAGAAGTATTTGCAATGTTATTTTCTGATTTTAAAATTGATTTTCTTCTGTATCATGTCATGTGTTCCAATATAAAGTTCCATTACGAAATCAGTGGAAAATCCTTTTATGACACTAACTCTTACAATTATTTCTTATTGAACTATCTTCTATCTATTTTACAGGTTGATTTCTGCCTCTTTCACACCTTTTCCCTATATTTTATCATATTTTTCTAGACGGATCATCATAGGTTCATGAGATTATTGTCATACTGTACATGCTTTCAATCATTGGAAAAATCTTCGATTGTGTAAAACAATACAAAATAATACAAGTGCAGAAGGGCACGGTGCCAAATTGAGCTGTGTCCATATTTAAAAAAAATAATAATGGTTTACAGCAACTGGATAAAACATTTTACAATATTTATTTAGAAATATGTGCATGATTTAGAAAGTCATTAAGCTGGAAAACTGCAATATACTGCAGACTTTTCAGAGAGGTTACTTCGATTACAGGTAACAACCAATTAACATTATTTTTTTGCTTTTTGGAAATTCCCCATCACTATGTCATTCGTATTATTTTTTGCCAATGAAGCTGCACAACTATATAAATGAGGAGGCCCCTAAAGTTCAAGAATAAAAGCCAACTTCACTTCAAGTATATTCCACTACACCTAACATTCCGTTGAGAGATTATATTGACAGCTTTATGTAACTGATAAGACTGAGACAACTAACTGACATCCCCCATGTCAAGGATCACAGCTTTAACAGTAACCCCACAACCAATTTCTCAAAACTGTGCTAGAGGATTATTCATTGGCTTAAAAGTACGATACGAACTGACGCGACGTGACGAAGGAAAATCAAACTTACACTGTAACGGATATACCTCTCTTTGAAGTTAGAACGTGTCTTCCCAACAAACAGATTTATTTTTCAAATAAAATCATAGATTAATCTGCATTACACCAATGAAATCACGGAAGTGTTTAAGTACAAAGATCCACCAATACGATTTTAATACTATTTAACGGTTCTTCCAAAAGAAGAGATACCAGATAGCATACTAACAACTCCGATGACGTATAGTATGGGAAATATTTTATTCATTGAATGATCAACCATATTTGGTAACTAACGCAATTAATATCATTATTGTTTTTACACTTATTAATCTTTAAACATTGCTAAATGCTCAAAATATGTATAATTTCACTCAACTTATCGCAGTTAGATGAATTAGCGTAAGCCTTGAAAATAACCGTCGATTTCGACGGGTTTCACCTAGTACTAAATAACAGACTAACACAAGTAGACTACTTGTCCCATTGTAAAATCTTATGGTCGTTGTTATGTGTGGTTCACGTTGGTGACACTTAGCACTTGTGTCGACATTTTTATCCTTTTTGTTATTTCTTATAAATGTAATTTTACGGTTAATTTTACGATTTGTTCTTTGATTTTTGTTTGTGAAACCAAAGGACGAGCTATTGTTTGTAATAAGATTTAAAATAACTGAAATGACAATAAATACACTGCAAATACAAAACATACCCCTGGAGGCACCGGACTGTACTAACCTGACCTATATGGATGACAAATCTACTGAGGGAGTCTGCTTATCTATGGTTAAACTAACTCCTAAATTATTATCCTAATTGATCAGCTGAAAGCAGTTTAGAGTATGCTTTTGTTTTTATATGTAGAGAGAGTTTTGTTGCTTGTTTATCTGTTTCAAGTCATTTTCTCAATTTTAAAACAAGTTTAGCAGTAAAAAAAATAATTTAGCCTATGAAATAAAACAACTTACACTATCCATTTAATTTAGTTCGTGCTTTATTTTATAAACCCATTAGTTTTAAACAACTGATGATTTATTAAACGGGTTTGAACTATTACCATTGACCGACTATACACCTCTTAGTAGAGGGGTATACTCAATGCTATTACGTGTTAACAAGTGCTTAGTTTCCCTCGAAATTGGACCTAAATATAGATTTTTTCAAACAAAATATTGGAATAGTCGAACATACAACGAAAAGTCACAAACATTTTTAAGAGAGAGGTTAAACTTCGTTGAAATACTTAAGTCTTGAAACAGTTCATTATTTTTTTCCTTTTTGCTTCATTAAATTGCATAAAATGAAGAATCGGGACACTTTCTTTAGAAGAAGAGTGTTCTTCAATTCATTCAGTGTTGTTAGAAATGAGATTTCTTTGCTGATGAGTTTCAATTCCATTGAAGAAATATTTGAAGTATGGAAATCCAATAATAGAGTTTAGTTAGTCAGACAGCCATCCCCGTCTTGTTTTTGTTGCATTTGCAAAATATTAATAGTTAGTTTTTCATATGTTAGGGTTTATTTGTGTCTAAAGTTATTCAGTCAGCAATTCTTGTATTTTTTGCGCCAGGTCACAATTCTGCTCTAAATATTTTGCCATAACAATATAGTTATAACACATCCAGGATTGCCTGATTTAAAAGCTAAGTTAGCCAGTAAAATCGCAGGAAAATATTTTCCATTTATATTACTCTTATACGATTATTTTTAATTATATTTTTCATTTGAATTTATATTAGATCTTTTAATTATTTATTTGACATTATTTACGTTTTAATGCAAATCTATTCAGTGAAGCCTACTCGAGTTTGTATATAATAATTTTCGAATTACATTAACTTATAATTGAACCGTTTTCATTAATGGTGGTAAAAAGCGTGGTACGAAATAGGAAAATATATATGGTCAAAGAAATAATATTAACCGACTAGCCAATAACACAGTAACAAAACCGATCATATTATTTGTTAATTATTGAAAGTTATTATAAACTGAAACTTAACCGCAGTCAAATGTGGTACATCAAGTAGTTAAAACTTAAAGATAACCACACGATCATAGAAAGAACAATTTAACTAATCGTTTAAGGGGTCTAAACAGTGACTAAATGTAATTAAGCTCACTAATTATTGTTCAATGAACAAAATTCCCTTTTTTAACAAAGTAATATAGTTTGTGATTTTCATCAAGCTATATTTAATTGCAGCAATTTTAGTTCTAAAAATTATAGTTCTTTTAGGTTTTTTGCAGTTTAAAACACATTTATTGATTAAGAACACTCGTTTTGTGTGCCTTAAATGGTTCCACTATTTTTCATTATGTACAGAATAAAATAAAAGCTTGTCTGACTTTATGTGCTTCACCATTTATAATATCGTCCATCTTCACACATCCATTCAAAGCTTGTGCATAAGCTTGGGAAAAATTATCTTTCGTCACACATCTCTAAGGCCTTTTTCTACACACAGCCTGAATAGCGATGT